AAAGACTACGTGATATTACACCAGGGCTGCACGCCACCCACAAAATTCTATCTTATTTTTATTTGAAGTGTGGAAGGATTACTTTTTCTTTTATCGTCATATACAGATAGAATTACTGACAGTCAGAAAAGGACAGAGAACGTAGAGAAATTTAGGGAGAGACAGATAATAGACGGTCAAAACAAGCCGGCATAGAAAGACAGAAAAATACACAGACAGAGAAACAGGGTTAAATATACAAACATGGATAGACACAGGAAAATGCAGCAGGAACAACCACACAGACATATACAGACTGACAAAGACAGACTTCATTTCCCTCAGTGACATGCTAACTCCCGCTCACTAACTACCACACAAACATTAACACTCCCACACACAGCTATGAATTATCCCAGACCATCGATAATGAAATCCCAGAAACTAAGGAGTAGAAGAGCACATATATATATATCGAGACATTGTATGCTAAGACCACTCTGATACCAAACAAGATCAGAAAGTTGCAAGACAGAGTAGAGGAATCACTTTCAGACTTAACATGAATACATAGACAAAACTAACAAGTGATAAGAGAAGTCGTAAATAAAAAAGGAGAAAAGGTCCATGGTCTTACTTGTTAAGAAACACTGGGGCTTTGTGGAAATTGGAATCCTAAACTGTGAGATATTAACGGAATACACAAATGGAACACTAACCACAGGAATTTACGAAATAAATGCGGCATCCATTTATAACTTCCACCAAACAACCGGAACCTCCAGACGGGAATACAATTAAAAGATGGTCACAATATCCAATCTTAAGAAAATCACAAGTGATGGAGCAAGGTCATTAAAGCTATATTACTTAAATAATGGAGAGAAGAAACTGGGAAAAATGAGACTTCAAATATGGTGTTTACACTGAAAAGATTCGACGTTGATGATGCTGGTCTGTAGATTATTAGAGGCTGATTGTTCATATACATTTGGGAAAAAGATAAGTAACGATAACTTTTGTTTCCTATTTGGATCAACTTGAGATGGTGGTAAATTGCCGATGTGTAAACAAAGTGTACATGACCTACCCTAATGAAAAAAAGATTAGAAACCCGGCTTATTTTTGTGAATTCAGGTACACACATTAACCACTAAAAATTATTGCAGAGCACAGAATTGTGTAGTTAAACATATAAATATAAATATATATATATATATATATATATATATATATATATATATATATATATATATATATATATATATATATATATATATATATTTCAGGGATGATGATATATATATGTCGTGCCGAATATGTAAAACTGGTCAATTAGCAAGAAACTCTTTTAAAATTAAGTCCCCTTTCTAAAATTTTCTCTTATAAAGTTTAAAGATATATTTTTCATTAATGTTAAAGTAAAAAATTTTATTATTTGTACCAAAAGAATCTTAGAAAACTTACCTAACCTTATTTATAAAAGAACAATTTATTTTAACCTAAACCCAAATAAATATATTTTAGATTTGTTTACAGTAATTTAATACTAAACAAACACAGTGAAATAAATTTTTTTCGTTAGGTTCAGAATGATTTTGGCGAAATTATTGCATACACAAATTTTCGCTTGTCCTATATGGCAAGATGAGCTTTGCTATTTAAGCCAAGATCGCAAGTTCTGCCTATTCGGCACGACACACACACACACACATATATATATATATATATATATATATATATATATATATATATATAATATATATATATATATACATATATGATATATATACATAGGCTTAAATAAACCGCAAGATATATACACTCACCACCAAACTTGACGCTCGGGAGACCCTCAAGCATCGTTGCCAGAGCAGGGGAAGTACGATCTCCAGCTGAGAAGAGGAAGAGTGTTTTCATTAGGGGAAAAGACTTGTGAACATTATATATATATATATATTATATATATATATATATATATATATATATATATATATTATATATATATATATATATATATATATATATATATATATATATATATATATATATATATATATATATATTATATATATAGTTTTATTAAAGAAATTAAGAGCAAACGGAGAAATAGGATAGCAGAATGAACAAGTGAGGCTTTAGGAAAGGTAGGGGGTGTGTGGACCAGGTGTTTACAGTGAAACATATAAGTGAACAGTATTATAGATAAGGCTAAAGAGGTTTTTGTGGCATGTATGGATTTGGAAAAAGGCGTATGACAGGGTGGATAGGGGGGCAATGTGGCAGATGTTGCAGGTGTATGGTGTAGGAGGTAGGTTACTGAAAGCAGTGAAGAGTTTTTTACGAGGATAGTGAGGCTCAAGTTAGAGTATGTAGGAAATAGGGAGATTATTTCCCAGTAAAAGTAGGCCTTAGACAAGGATGTGTGATGTCACCGTGCTGGTTTAATATATTTATAGATGGGGTTGTAAGAGAAGTAAATGCGGGGGTCTTGGCAAGAGGCGTGGAGTTAAAAGATAAAGAATCACACATAAAGTGGGAGTTGTCACAGTTGCTCTTTGCTGATGACACTGTGCTCTTGGGAGATTCTGAAGAGAAGTTGCAGAGATTGGTGGATGAATTGGTAGGTGTGCAAAAGAAGAAATTAAAAGTGAATACAGGAAAGAGTATGGTTATGAGGATAACAAAAAGATTAGGTGATGAAAGATTGGATATCAGATTGGAGGGAGTATGGAGGAGGTGAATGTATTCAGATATTTGGGAGTGGACGTGTCAGCGGATGGGTCTATGAAAGATGAGGTGAATCATAGAATTGATGAGGGGAAAAGGATGAGTGGTGCACTTAGGAGTCTGTGGAGACAAAAAACTTTGTCCTTGGAAGCAAAGAGGGAAATGTATGAGAATATAGTTTTACCAACGCTCTTATATGGGTGTGAAGCATGGGTGATGAATGTTGCAGCGAGGAGAAGGCTGGAGGCAGTGGACATGTCATGTCTGAGGGCAATGTGTGGTGTGAATTATAATGCAGAGAATTCGTAGTTTGGAAGTTAGGAGGAGGTGCGGGATTACCAAAACTGTTGTCCAGAGGGCTGAGGAAGGGTTGTTGAGGTGGTTCGGACATGTAGAGAGAATGGAGCGAAACAGAATAACTTCAAGAGTGTATCAGTCTGTAGTGGAAGGAAGGCGGGGTAGGGGTCGGCCTAGGAAAGGTTGGAGGGAGGGGGTAAAGGAGGTTTTGTGTGCGAGGGGTTTGGGAAACTTCCAGCAGGCATGCGTGAGCGTGTTTGATAGGAGTGAATGGAGACAAATGGTTTTTTAATACTTGACGTGCTGTTGGAGTGTGAGCAAAGTAACATTTATGAAGGGGTTCAGGGAAACGGCAGGCCGGACTTGAGTTCTGGAGATGGGAAGTACAGTGCCTGCACTCTGAAGGAGGGGGTGTTAATGTTGCAGTTTAAAAACAGTAGTGTAAAGCACCCTTCTGGCAAGACAGTGATGGAGTGAATGATGGTGAAAGTTTTTCTTTTCGGGCCACCCTGCCTTGGTGGGAATCGGCCAGTGTGATAATAATAATATATATATATATATATATATATATATATTATATATATTTTATATATATATATATAATTATATATATATATATATATATATTAATAACAACACTGCGACTAGCCAAGAGTCGAAACCATTGCTGCTTTGGTTGCCTCATGGTGGGCGAAAATTCATGACGCCTTAATCCACTGGACCACACAATCCTTAGAGTGCGCATCCAGCAGATCCAGCGCATCCAGTCGTCATGAGTTTTCAACACCATGAAGCAGGCCAAAGCAGCATGGGTTCGATCCTTGGCTAGTCCAGTGTTGTTTATTGATCAATACCACTTGTTCGTGGGTACAATAATATATATATATTATATATTATATATATATATATTATATATTTATATATTATATTATATATATATATATATATATATATTATATATATCAGAATTACCATTCCTATGCACTACCAAATTAAAAAACAGGGGAGTGGGGAAGGGTGTTTGGTGGTAGAGGGGATGGGGAAAAGAGATAAAAATTTATTTAGGCAAATGGACTCAACTTGGATTAAAATCTGCAAATTTATATTTATTTGCACTTAAGCCTGTTTTTTTTTTTTTGGTTCGTGTTTTATTTTATGTTTTTGCAGTGGAAGTGTGGAATGTGTTCCTGTGTTGGAGGTGCGTAGAGATATTTGTACTTTTTGTTGTGGGGAAAAAGAATTATGTTGTGTGTGTGTGTGTGTGTGTGTGTGTGTGTGTGTGTGTGTGTGTGTGTGTGTTGTGTGTGTGTGTGTGGTGTGTGTGTGTGTGTGTGTGTGTGTCTGTGTGTGTGTGTGTGTGTGTCTGTTTACTTACCATCCTGGCTTAGGAATTAAGTTTTTTTAATGTTGATGCACAAGTTTATTACGGCAATATTAACCCTGTCAACAGACATGAAACATAACAAGCTCGCTAAAGGCTTGTAGAATATAAACACATATGCAACGTTTAGGTCATTTTAATTAGCAGACATTTCGGCCTCTGGGGATGACTTTATCAATACACTGTTTTTATTGATAAATCCTCCAGTGAGAGAAACGCTTCTTAATAAAGTGTCAAGTGTTGCATACTTCTCTTTATTCCACAATTTGTTATACAAAACACTTGAACTCTTATTTTTTGCACGCATGGGACACCTGGTAAAGACCTGCACAGTGTTGACATGAAACAACAGATGTTTACGTGAATCAGCTGTTTACATAAATCAGCTGGAGTTTACATGCATCAGCTTATATTTATTTGATATTTACATTATTCAGCTGATATTTACATGAATCACCTTATGTTTACACGAATCACCTGATGCTGACATAAATCACCTGATGTTGACATAAATCAGCTGATGCTGACATAAATCAGCTGATGTTGACATAAATCAGCTGATGTTGACATAAATCAGCTGATGCTTCCATTAATCAGCTGCTACAATTCTCACCTGGATAAGGACAGCCACGGCCACCACTCCGTACACCTGGCTCGCCGCCTGGCTGAAGTTGCGATACAGCTGTGCATTATAGCCGTAGATTTGCAGCTGTAGCGGGGATAGAAGAGAAGCATTACATTTTTTAAATATTTGATCTCTGACGGGCCCATATGTTAAAATTTGTGTTTCTATTATGATTAATTTGTAGGTTGGGAGGGGTGGGTAGGGGACAATTATGGCTGGGTGTTTTAGCAAGCTTGTGTTACATTCTGTGTGACCTGAATTTCCATAAATGACCACAGGAGATGATGACAGTGGCCACTGAAGATGATGACAGTGACCACTGAAGATGATGGCAGTGACCACTGAAGATGATGAGAGTGACCACTGAAGATGATGAGAGTGACCACTGAAGATGATGGCAATGACCACTGAAAATGATGACAGTGACCACTGACGATGACAATTGACCACTGAAGATAATACTAGAGAGAATGATAGTGACACAATTTAAAGCTCGCTCTGGAACAATAGATGGAATACCCTGTTCCAAGGAGGATGGAAATTTGCAAAGGATTAAGAAAACGTTGAAAAATTGCCGTCATCATTATGCTCACACTGTTGATTTTTCGACGTCCTCCCTTTTCATCAACTTCTTAATGTATGTTAGCTAATTTAGGTTTGGATAGAGAAATGTGTTAGAAATTAGCCATTTTTAATAGACCTTAACAGGAAGAAATATAAAATGTCGGTCCTGGGAGTACATTTCGCAATAACAATAGCTTAGTAAATTAACAAAAGACTCTTTATGACCGTAAATGTCCGGAAATCAGCTTTGTCGTCATTGAAGAAAATGGTTTCTGGCAAACTCTGTAAGTCATTTATAAACGAACGTTTTCTTAAGAGGATGAACTGGACGTAGCTAATGTGTTAAGGAATACTGCGAAACAAAAGGGAAGGAAACCGAAAAATTCATTCTTTTCCATTAAATAATTATCCAGTTTCTTCCCTCCCAGTGACAGTGAGATGAGAGACGGACTTTCTAAGAAGAGATGCTGACGAGGAAGTGAGAACAGCTGTTGTTTCTGCACCATTTATTCTCCAGTGTTGATAATATTTTAACAGGCACTCAAAGATTTATCACTGGTAGGGAAGCTCGTGTTGTCTATTACTCTCTCTCTCTCTCTCTCTCTCTCTCTCTCTCTCTCTCTCTCTTTCTCTCTCTCTCTCTCTCTCTCTCTTTTTTTTTTACACAGGGTTTGACAAGGTCAAGGATCCCCAGCTTTATTGACAAGCTATTTACAGGTTCAGGATTCCTAACTTTATTGGCAAGCTAAGAGCTGTTACCTACATCAGCTCATTTGAAAGCATTTTTATTGTTATGAGACATACAAGTAGGGAACAGGATGAAATTGTAGCCATCTGTGTGCCAGCAGTTTCATTTGATCAACTGACTTTATCTCGTTGACATCATTATGCTGTACGAATGTGTTCCATACTCGAGTCATCCTGGGTATATATGATCTCAGATGGAGTGATGTTCTGGAGAAGGGTACAGCCAGAGTGAAGTTGCTGCTTTCTGCCCGTCTTGTGGCATAAAAGCTTGTTTCACGCTGTCCTCACGCGTCTCTCTCTCTCTCTCTCTCTCTCTCTCTCTCTCTCTCTCTCTCTCTCTCTCTCCTCTCTCTCTCTCTCTCTCTCTCTCTCTCCCTCTCTCTCTCTCTCTCTCTCTCTCTCTTTCTCCCTCCCTCCCTCTCTCTTTCTCTTTCTCTCTCTCTCTCTCTCTCTCTCTTCTCCTCTCTCTCCTCTCTCTCTCTCTCTCTCTCTCTCTCTCTCTCTCTCTCTCTCGCCCCGCTCCTTCTCCCTCCCTCCCTCCTCTCTCTCTCTTTTTTTTTTTTTTTTTTTTTTTTTTTTTTTTTTTTTTTTTTTACACAGGGTTTGACAAGGTTAAGGATCCCTAGCTTTATTGACAGCTATTTACAGGTTAAGGATTCCTAACTTTATTGGCAGCTAAGAGCTGTTACCTACATCAGCTCATTTGAAAAGCATTTTTATTGTTATGAGGCATACAAGTAGGGAACAGGATGAAGTTGGAGCCATGTGTGGGCCAGCATTTTCATTTGATCAACTGACTTTATCTCGTTGACATCAATATGCTGTACGATGTGTTCCATACTCGAGTCATCCTGGGTATATATGATCTCAGATGGAGTGATGTTCTGGAGAAGGGTACAGCCAGAGTGAAGTTGCTGCTTTCCCGCCCGTCTTGTGGCATAAAAGCTTGTTTCACGCTGTCCTCGAAGTGGATCCAAGTGTGGTATTTTGACAATATTGGCCTTGTACATAACAGTAAGGCCACCCAATCCCTCCTATGTTGAAGGCTCTGCTGAAATGACAGATCTATCCAGGATGGGTCCAGGCGAGAGATGAGACATCTTGCTCTGTTCTCTACTCTGTCAAGCAGTCGCAGATGAGAGGGGGGGGGCAGGCAAACCAAAAAAGTGGAGCATACTCAAGGTGTGAGCGTACTTGTGCCTCGTACAGGATCTTGCAACCCCTACTGTCAAGCAGATGCGAGATACGGCGAAGTGCTGTAAGCTTCCTGGCTGCCTTGTTTGCAAGATTTACAACATGGTTCTTCATGGTTAGTTTGGAGTCAAATTTCACCCCAAGGATATCAACTTCTTCTCCAGGTGCCAACACCCTCCCATTCATCCTTACTACTGCACCAGCATTACCATCATGGTGCCTAGAGAAGATCATCATTTGCGTTTTCTCAGGCAAATGTTACTTGCCATCTATTTCCCCAAGCTGATATAGCTCTCAGCTGGTGATTGATGTAGCTTAGAGCAGCTGGCATTTCTTCTCTTGGATAAGTGAATGTCAGTGTACAGTCGTCTGCATATGCATGTGATTCTGGGATGAGATGAAGAAGGTCGTTGAAGTAGACATTCCATAACAATGGACCCAGCACGCTTCCTTGTGGAACACTTGCCCCAATAGGATGTCTTGCTGATTCCGTTCCATTGAGAACTACACTTAGAGATCTACCATGAAGGTAATCACTGAGGAGACTTAGCGTAGAGCCTGCAATTCCCAGTGCTTGAAGTTTTGCTAAGAGGCCCTGGTGCCACACCCGGTCGAAAGCGCCAGCAATGTCCAGTGCTACCACACAGCTGACTTTGGATTCATCCAGTGACTGGTGCCACTTAGTGGAGAGGTTTAACAACAGATCAGCAGCAAAGTAACCTTTCCTGAAGCCATATTGACGATCACAAAGTAGTGGAGTGGTAGTCAAAAATCTGTCATTTGTCTTGAGATTATTGTCTCAAGGATCTTACCAGTGATTGACAGGAGTGACACTGGTCTGTAGTTGCTGATTTCTGCTCTGCTCTTCTTTTTGTGAACAGGGACTACATTTGCCTCTTTCCATAGAGAGGGCCATTTACACTGTACTAGGCAGTGCTGAAAGATGCGAGTTAGAGGTGCTGCTAGCTGGTCTGCACATCTTCTCAACAATCTTGGGCTCAACTTCTCTGGGCCCACAGCCTTTTCTTGGTCAAGCGATTTAAGAAGGAAATGCACCTCCTCCTGCTTTATTGTCACCAATGACAGTTTTGACACAGTTCTTGCAGCTAGCCAAGGAGGGTCCCTTGCTGGATCAGGAACTTGCATTTTGGTAGCAAAGTGTTCAGCAAAGAGGTCCGCCTTCTCTTGACTACTAGTAGAGGTGGTCCCATCCTGTCGATTTAGAGGTGGAATAAGTTCATCAGGCAGATAACCTTGTCTGTCCTTGACCAGGGACCACCAGGTTTTGGAGCCTACCCTACCTGATGCTAACTTTCTTTTAGTGTTACAACGAAAGCCAAACCAAGGCTGATCTGTAGGCTTCGTCACATATTGCCGGTGAGGAATGTGTTCTTGTTGTAGATTAAGGATGTGTCCAGTGAAGGCTTTCACTTGGTTGTCAACATCCCCTTGGAGAAGAGCATTCCAATCGGTGGTGGCGAGCTCAGAGCAAAGGGCTGGCCAATTACCTCTTTCCCATAGCCAGGTTGTGCGTGTGGACTCCTCACCTCGTTCTGTTGGGATCTTAAGTGTCGTAAAAACAGCCATGTGGTCAGACGATCAAACGTAGCCGAGGGGTTGACAAGTGACTATGCCTTCTGCCAGATCACTCACTACTGGGTCAAGGGAGGAGCCAGAGGTATGAGTAGGGAAATAAACAAAGTTTCTCATGTCAAACACTGCAAGAAGGTCATCAAAGTCCCTCTGTATTAGGTGCTGGTTGAGGTCACCAACAATTATTATATGTTGACAGTTGTGTTGTAGCAGAAGGGAGTCAATATTTTCCATTAGGAAGTTGATGGGGTCTGCATGTTGCCACTGAGGTCTGTACATTGCACATGCTAGTACAGAGGTACTAGTACTTGTTTTCTCTCTCTCTCTCTCTCCTCCTCTCCTCTCTCTCTCTCCTCTCTCTCTCTCTCTCTCTCTCTCTCATCTTTTCTCTCTCTCTCTCTCTCTCTCTCTCTTCTCTCTTCTCTCTCTCGCTCTTTCTTCCTCCTCCCCTCCCTCCCTCCCTCTTTCTTTCTTTCTCTCTCTCTCTCTCTCTCTGATTAATCAGCATATAAAAAATCTTATCACAGAATGTGAGCAACCCAGAAAAACTTTATTAGTCTTTACAGCTTTAAGCTCATTATTTACTGCTGAATTTGATATAAACATACTAAGAACGTATTCTTTGCATGCCTGAAATTGCTGCTTTGACCGAACATTAACACATTATGACCGAACATTAAAAAACATTAAGTAGCCCAGTCCCAAACCCAGAAATCATGAAATAATCCAAAAAATTTTCGTAGCGTTTCCTTTTTGACTTTAAAAGGCCCTGGCCCCCCCAAAGCGTTGTTTTTCCCAAAAGGGGAAACAAAATTTGGATTTTTAACGGTGACATTTCTGAGTGGTGGCCTTTTTTCCCAGCAAGTTTTTAAATTTGTTTGTTACTGGTCGGGTTTCTTTTCGAAAATTTTCATAAATGAAACATGATTATCATCAAAAACCCGTAACTTTCGCGGGAAAATCACTAAGGGGAAAAATTTTCCCCC